TGAGCATAGCGCTGTGAAGCTGTCCGCAGCCTCTGCAGGGTGGGTTCAATTCCCAGCCAGCCAGGGAGATACCCACTTGGCACGGCAGACCTCTCCTGTCTTGCCTGCTGCTCCCCTCAGCAGTGCTTTTGTTCTGTCTGCCTGTTCTGCTCCCTGCTCTGTCTCTGGTGAATCCTCTCACCCTCCCATGCCTCTGACCTGTATCCCACTATTGTATAAATAAAAAATAAATATTTAAAAAAAATAGTTTTTTTAAAAAAAAGTTTCCTTAATGTTTCTTGCAAGGCCAGGTGAATGGTGATAAACTCTTTGAGCTTTTGCTTAGCTGGGAAACTCATATTTGTCCCATAAATTCTGCATGTTCACCAGGTAAAGGAGTCTTGGTTGGAAGTTTTTTCCTCTCAGCACTTTGTATATATACTACTCTCTTATGGAGTTTCTCCTACCTGTCTCAGTGCTGTCTTTTTATCCTTTGCAGTGGGATCTCCATTTGTCCTGTTTTCACATCTCCTTCCTTGTAAGTTACTGCATATGTAGTTGTAGATTTATTGTGTCCATGGGAGATGAGTTAAGATTCCTCCTATACTACCATCCTGACAAATCTTTCCTGATAAAGCATTGATTTCTATTTCTTCCTTGGAATGACTGAAAGACGAAATTATTATATAAATATTTTTCCTTTGCAGGGAAATCTTTGCGATTATCTGAGTTCATAATGACAATTGCATGTGATATTTATAACAGTGTGTGTGTGAGCCTAAAGATGACCTCCATCAGAGCCATGAGTTGCATCCATTTGGCCCAAATTCTCAATTCACACTTCACGATTACTCTAGCACTCCCAGAGAGTGAGAAAAATTAAGTAGTGAAAATCACATAACTGACTTTCCATTCAATGAAAATGAAGACCATTCACACCTTCCAGGTTTGTTTGCACACTTGAAATTGCAAACAACAGTGGCTACCTCTACTTGTCACCTAGCAACAAACCTCCAAGTTATACAAATAAGCAAAGAGGATGTTTAAATACAAAATGAAAGAATTCTAAAGATCAGGCAATCAAAATGATTCTTACAAATTTTATATAACACATTGTTTGGCATTAATCTGTGATTTGTTTATTCCATCACCACCTCAAATATTTATGTAACTTCATATCTAATTTGTTAATTATATATTTTCTTTAAAAATTAATTCAAAATAAATCAAATGTCAGTATCACCCTTAAATAGTGAAAAGTAAAATTTATTGTTATGAGTTATGATTACTACTATATTTTAATTAAATTTTGTATTAAATTATTTAATAGTATAATGATCTTAAAGCATCTGTGCAATTTTCCCTTAAAACTATTTACCTCTTACCAGCTGAAAACGTTTATGTGATTGGGCCTCCCCGGTGGCGCAGCGGTTGAGCGCTGGGTTGCGAAGCTGCCCGCAGCCTCTGCAGCGCCAGTTCGATCCCCGGCTGCTCCCCGGCCACTGGAGGAGGATCCCACATGGCGCGCAGACCTCTCCTGCCGCCCGCTGCTCCCCTCAGCAGTGTCCTTCGGTCCTCCTGCCTGCTCTGCTCCCCGCTCTGGCTCTGGTGGATTCTCTCACCCTCCCGCGCTTCTGACTGTACCCAGTGCTTGTATAAATAAAATTTAAAAAATAAAATAAAATAAATCAAAAAAAATGTTTATGTGATTAAAAAAATGCCGTAGGGAGTTTTAAAGATTGTTATATTTTTATTAAAGAGGCCCATAAGTCAAGTAAGGTTTGCAAACAGTGTTTCAGGAAAGTATTACCATTTTTATGAATGTATTTCTAGAGTAGAAAATTCAATTAAATCAATTATTACATAATATTAATCCCTTCTAATAATTACAGAACCATTTATTGGTGAAGTAACTTTTACTTTCTCATTTTACTCCTCCTCTCCTCAATTATTCACTTAATTTTTTTAAATATATTTATTTTTTATGTCATTGTTCATTTTTGTGCCGCATTCTATTTCTCCCCTCATGCGTAGTCCACATCGTTCTCCCGCTACCAGCGCGCCCCTGATCCATCCCCCTAGCCCCTGGTGCTCTTCCCTCTCCTGTTTCGAGCCCTCTCCCCCGCCCTCCCCGCTTTATGTCTCGATGTATAATTTGCCCGCAAGTTTGTCTTTTTATCTGACTCCTTGTTCAGTTTCCCTATATTCCTTCTCTAAGGATTCACTTTTTTTCCATTGATAGGAGTTGAAAAGTTAAAGATGAGTCTGAAGTGAGCACTGTGTTTAGTGTAGGATTCAAGAAGAACCTTTTATCAGCTACTCGTTTCCACTAGGCCAGGGTCAGGAGCAAGTAAAGCCAAAAGTATTAATAAGGATGTAGATTACATGAGAAAAATGAAAGAAGCCAAACATTTTTCGTCTGGGGAGAAAGGAAGGAAAGAAAAGGCAAAGATTGCAGGATGTACGATGATAACTATATTAGCTTCTAGTATTTTAAAGAGTGAATGAAGATTTATTTTATAAATCCTTTGATTCCACAAAGGAAAGTAATCACAACTTCCATTTACTGAATATCTTATATATGCCAGGGACCACAGATACATTAGCACATTTCATTTCACACTATCGCTCAAATTGGAGTTTATCATCTCTATTTTATAGGTGGTGAAACTATGATTAGCAGAGAGAGAGAGACAGAGAGAAGAGAGAAACAGTTAGCGCAAGAGCGGGGCGTAAAATTGTTCAGCATCTCTGCCCCAAAACCAACACTTAGGCACATGATGTACTGGACGCATGAAAATCAGCCCAGACGAAGGGTTTTGTTGCTGTCCTTCTTGTTCTTGTTATGTTTGTCTGTTTTTGAAGTTCTGAGCTTCCAGAAGAAAATCTCTAATCTGCTCAGGCCAGAGGTAGGCATAGAATTCGTAATTGCACCCTTGTTTATGCGGGGAGACTTGACCGTGTTTACAGAACATCTTGAAATCACGTGTCTCTGTCAGTTGCATTTCACACATCCTCTAGCCTGGGTTTGGTCTTCTATGTGCCGAGCTGACATCATGCACACAGGAGCCTTCCTGAGAGTGTACGACTTGCATTGCAGACACATCATTATTTTGAAACCAAAATGTGGGGCACACTATTCCCTCTGCTTCAGGCATGAGAAATGCTATTACTAATCCTATCAGTGTGCACAGTGAGAAAGCTTCCTGGCCCGCAAAACACTCCCCATTCGAATTCATATTCAGTGTGTATGTTTCTGCACATAAACATTTTTCTTGACTATTATGAATATAGGTTGAGATTCCCACATAACATCCCCTGGTCTGCAAATGCTACTGTCAAGGTCCTCTCAAAGAGTTGGAGTTTGAAGTAGCAAAGAACTAAAATAATTTGATTTGATGATACCATTTTTCTCCTCTGAAAACACCTTTTATTTTATATACTAAGACCAACACTACTTTGTGGATTTCTTGTTTCTCCTCAAGATAACTGGAGACATCCTGTGGTCCTGACCCAGAATGGCAGGGCAGTAACAAGCTGCATATTGCATGGAACACACTTCCCAGAGGAGGCCTTTCTGATAGAGAATACCAGAAGGCTGAAAGTTCAGAGCGAAACTCGGTTGGATAGCAGTGAGCATGGCCGGGTGTCACAATTAAGAATAGGGGGCGAAGGAGAGGGTGACTGCGATCACCCCAATGGTTTGTCAGCCATCTTGGCTGGTCTATATTAAACCTATCCATGGCCCGGTAGTCCATATGACATTTCTTACTCGGGGGGCATTGTTAAAATTCCATATGGCCCCTGAAACATACTTTATAAGTCACTGATGGTCTGCAGTGAGCTTGAACCATTTTTTTTTTTTTTTTTACTTTAGAAGAATTATTTTATTTTTTTGAATATTTAATTATTTATGCATATAAGATTGGGGGTACAGGCCAGAGGTGCAGGGGGTGAGAGGATTCACCAGAGACAGAGCAGGGAACAGAACAGGCAGACTGACTGAAATACACTGCTGAGGGGAGCAGCAGGTGAGGCAGGAGAGGTCTGCTGCGTCATGTGGGTAGCTCTCTGGCCGGCGGGGGGGATAGAACTGCTGCAGAGGCTTCAGATTGCCTAATAGTGAGGTGTTTAACCCCTTGATCACCAGGGAGGCCCTAGAAGAATCTTTTAATGCTCACTAATATCTGTTTACTTATTTTTTTTTTTTTAAATATTAAATTTTATTTTTATATTCCCCCATACAATTGCAAACGCCCCATTCTGACCCCAATCCTTCCCCTCCCCCCCCCCCACCCCCAAAAAGTGTCTCTGGTTCATAGTTTTTTAGTTGATTTTGATTTTCACTTTCTTATATTCATTTTCCTGGTCCCTTATTTAAGTTTTCTAGATTCCTGCTATGAGTGAGACCATCCGGTATTTTTCTTTTTCTTTTTGGCTTATTTCGCTGAGCATGATCCCTTCCAGTGCCATCCATGTTGCTGCAAATGGCATGTGTTTATCTTTTTTGAATGCTGAGTAATATTCCATGGTATATATGTACCACATCTTCTTGATCCAGTCATCTATTTTTGGGCATTTGGGTTGTTTCCAAAGCTTAGCTATTGTAAACAGTGCTGCTATAAACATAGGAGTGCAGGTGGACACAGAAACATCAATTCCAAAGAGCTTGAACCATTTTTAGCACTAGAAGGTGCTGTCTTCGACCATGGTTCAATAAATAAAGCAGACTGGTAAGAACAGATTTAAAAAACCAACTGTGCTATCTGGCCATGCTCCCTACTACCCACCCACGTACATAGCGTACAGGGTCAAGATACACAAGATACAGGACATGTCCATCATCACAAGGGTTTCTCTTATAGACCTTTTCAAGTAAACTTACCTCCCTCATCTCCTGGTACCTGCTAATCTGCTCTCCATTTCTCTAATTTTGTCATTCTAAGAAATGTGGATAAATGAAACCATGTAGTCAGCAATCTTTGGGGGGTTGGCTTCTGTCACTCACCAGAATTCCTCAGAGATGCATCCAGGTTGGCTGGTGTGAAGAGCTCCTCCCTGTGTGCCCCACAGCACGGCTTCTAACCGGCACCTGCAGCGTAAGTCGGACACTGATGCTCTTGGCTTTGCTTTTCTCACCTGTAAAATGAGGGAGTTGGACTGCATGACTCTAAGAATTTCTCAATTGTAGATTTTTTTTCTCTTATGGGATCTCATCTGCCCTTTGATGTTTTCATCATTATAAAACACTCTTGTGTCATCCAATCAGCTTCAGGGCTGGGACAGCGAGCCTCGAAGCGCTGGGGGTGGGGGGGGGGGCAGAAAATGGGAGGTTGGCAGCATTCGCTGAGCCGAGCTCTCATCACATTTTCTCCTGGATTCGGTATCCAATGAATGACTGTTGTAGTTCACTGTGGATTGGAATTATGGCACCTTCCCTTTCTCCCTTAGCTTCAAAGTTAGCTTCATTGTCTGACTTATGCACCTTGATTTTGGCCTAGATGGACAATCTGGTGGGCCTCATACAAGATTGAGATTATTATAAAAGGAAACCTGCAAACAGTCTAAATTGTTAAAATTATATGCCGCTTGCTAGAAGTCATCAAAATAAAAGGCTACAGCTCGGCAAATCACGTTCTAGTCTAGTAATTCTTCATTCTGTGTGGGGTTCTGCTGGTGCTGCGTGGAGGCGCCGGGAGTGAAATATAAGCCCGGATAGAGTGCCATGAATAATGGAGTCCCTGCTGACATTTGAGAAGAAGCGAAGTAGCACTAGGTTGGTAATGATCATCCTTCCATCATTTCTACGGGGAAACTGGGGACCTTCCCTACCGTGCCTGCCCAGCATGTCCACATTCAGAGAAAGGTAGCGGGCTAATACCTCTTGGGTCCTGTCTCCCTGTGTTCTTTCTGGAACAAGATCAGCCACATCCAAATCCGAGACCTGACCCTCCGCTGATCATCAGACCTGGGCTGAGAATTCTACATCACTAGTTATCTGTGCTTGCACCCACTTCGCAATAGAGACCTTTTTTCTTTTCCAGTCACCTAAGACTCCACCTGCCATTTATTTTCCTTGTGTCAATTTTCTCAGATTTTAGGTGAAAAGATCTCAGAGAACTGATTCCCGACTCTGGCACTGCAGCTCCCCAGGACGTCTCCAATTATCTCAAAAGGTGTCACAACATTCTCCCCAAACAAATTCTAATTAATTCATTAATGTACAACTGGAGTTTGGAAGAGAGTGGGGGTGGGGAGGGAGGTAGGTCTCTGAGCTGTCACAAAATCTAGCAATGACAGCGTGTTCTCTTCCCAGAAGGCTGGGAGTTTTGGGAATGAGTCTTACCTCTCAATCTCCGTGGTGACGTCCACGCAACCTTGCTGTTTGCAGAGAACACACGCCCTGTAAAGAAGTGGTAGCTCTGTGAGGCAAGAACAATGAAGTGCTATCGAGGGACACGCATTTGAGAATGAAACTGAACTGCTTAATGAGGGATGGGTTTTGCGTTTACAGTTCAGGCAGGGCCGTGTTTTCAAGCGAGGTGGGCATTCCCTGGAATTATCCAGAGAGACAGTGTTATACATGACTGCTGGCTATTGGGAGACCAAGGATCTTCAGCCGCGAATCAGTGCTCTCTGTGTGAATTCTGGAAAGCTGGGTGGCGGAGGAGAGTCCGTGCATGCAGAGATGAGGGGCAAGCTGGGATATTTTTACTTTTTCTTTTGCAGGGATACAGTGGGCCTTCTGTACCCCTGGGCTCCACGTCCCTGGGTTCAGCCATGAATGGAAATATGCACTGTGGAGTTAGGCCCATGATGGATTGAACACAGACCCTTCTTCCTTGTCATTATTTCCTAAACAATACAGTATAGGAGCTACTGACATGGCAATTCCATTTTGTTAGGAATTATAAGTAATCTAGAGATGATTTAATGTATAGGGGAAGATATATGTAGATTATATACAAATACTACACCATTTATATAAGGGACTTGAGCATCCTGGGACACTGGTATTCCACATGCATCCTGGAACCAATCCCGCCCCCCATCCCCCAAGACCATGGGTCAACTGACTGTATGTATTCTGAATAGTTGAGGCTTGGCTTTGATGCTCTTCTAGCTTGGCTTCCTGGCCTTTCTCTCTAGGCGTCTGTCTCTTGACATTGTTAGTCCATCTTTAGCAGCATACTCAAGACGGTTCTACCCTGTCCCTAAATGCTCCATGTTCCACCACTTCCACAATACAGAAGAAGAAAAAACACCTTCCCCAGGGTTTTCTGGCTGTCCTGGAAGTCTTTAAGATGGTACATAGATTTAACATTACTGTGCTCTCGTTTTACCTCTGCACCAAAGTCCCACTTGGACATGTGAGATCTCCAACTCCACAAGTGCAAACCTGGACTCCTGATCTGTTCACCAGCACCTTCTTCAGTGAGTTAATGGTTCCAGTTTCTCAGGCCAACGATCTTGGTTGTTATTGATTCTTTTTTCTCTTACACCTCACATCTGATTGTTCGGCCAATCCAACCATGTGGACCCATGTGCTGCTACTTTGGCAGGCCCACCAGCATCTCCACCAGATTCTTGCTGTGGCCTACAGTTGTCTAACTGATCTCATTTCTTTGACCCACTATAGAGTCACTTCCCAAGAGAACTGCCACAGTGATCCTACAAAATGAAAGCGACTTGCCATCACTGCTCAAGATTCTCCAAGGCTTTGCCATCTCACATGGAATCAAAATGAAGGTCCCTACCATGGCTTACAAGTCCTCATGGTCTGTGACAAGCAACTGACCTGTTTCTGCCTCCGCTGCCCCCTCCTCCACTGTGGGTCCTGCTGTTTCCTCCGCACACCAGGACAGCCCCTGCCTCCTTCCCTGTGCCTGAACATTCTTGTCCCAGTGTTCCCAAGGCGTATACTCTAAGTCAAGTTTCACCTGGGGAGGTCTTTCTTGACCTGCCATCTTACTGCCCATCACCCTCATGCGCTCATTATTCCCTTTTGCCGCCTCCCTTGTCTCCACAGGACTTATTCCCTTCCAACGAACATTCTCCACCAAGTGAGAGTACTTCTCTTGAATGAGTCCTCAGTAGTTTTTATTTGAGAAATATGCCTATGCCCTAGGCTGAAGAAGGAGCATTTTAAAAAGAGGATCCTAGTCATTACAAGTTCATTTCTTCTCAGTAAATCTTCAGAGTATAGACAGCTGAAGTGAAAATTTCAACAGCTTTGGAAGGCGAGGGGATTCTGTGGGAGGCGGTGTGTGTGGCTCTAGTTGTAGGGAGGGAAAGGAACATCCTGGGCATGAGAGCCTAGGAGTCTCTTCCCACTCTGCCTACCTCTATTTTCTATTCTTCTAAGTCTGAACTTGGAGAAAATTTACCATCTTTTCCTCAGTGGCTTCCTTTCCATGCAAGCGGTAATCTGGTGGCTTCTTGTCAGGTTCTGTGGCCAGGGAGTGAGGATGTCTGCAAGCTAATGACTTGGGAATCAGGCATTTCCTGCACTCTATGCAGTGATGTATTGGGAAGGCTTAAAATTGTCTCTGGCATATAGGAAGTTCTATATGTGATGCCTATCATGTAAGTATATAAAATAATATAACAAGTTCTAAAACTTTACTATATATTCAGGTAAAGGATTAAACCTATAGATTAGATGTAAATATATATGCACACATACACATACATACACATTTTCCTTGCTGAATATTTGTAACTTTTCCCAATAGATACCATCCCTGATCACCATTCAAAAAACTACAAAAATAATGTAATTCAAAATGTAATGTCTGGGGTCAACCCTGGACCTGAATAACATTAGTTGATGCCTTTATGAAATCCCCTTTAGCAGACATGAGGCTGTGAAAGGCCATTTCATGCTCTCGTTAATAAATGCTGCAATTACATTCTAAAAGCACAGCCATGTTTACCAATTAATTTTAATGGACCAGGTCACAGATAAGCATTTGCTATGCGGTATGTTGCTGATTAAAACCAGAATATTGTTCACATATGGTGAGGTAAATCATCTTGCACGTATTTAGGGGGAAGGGCCTATTTTAACTCTTAATTTGTTGAATTTGACATCAATCATTTTTAGGAGTTTGCTTTCCATGACTGGCAGAGTCTGAAACCAAGCATGAATCTACACCAATGTGTTGGCTCCAACAAACCTTCCATTCGCAGATCTCTTTAGTTTTTCAAGTGCACCCCCCTTGTTTTAGGGGAGCAATGGGGAGCAATGGAGTGAGCTAGTCATAGCTTTGCTTCTAACTGGTTGTGTGACTTTGGAACAAACCCCTGTTTGTTCTGGGCCAGTTGTGTCAATTGCAATGAGAGATACAATAATCCCCTCATTCCTCCTTCACAGCTGTATCCTGCATCACACACACACCAACTCTCTTTCATACACACATGTTCTCTCCCTCACTCTCATATACACACACCCACAATTATTTAAAACTTATTTATATTTTAGATTTACATAAGAGTTGCAAGATGGCACAGAGAGTTCCTGTACACTCTTCATTCAGCTTCCCCTAAAGTCAACATCTCACACGACCATAATGCCCTTATCAAAACTAAGAAATGTTTGTATTACTTGAAATTACTTTGTCTTCTTACAACTCCCAAATTTTTCTCAGCTAATATCTGTCTGTGGCTTCCTCTCCACTATGTTGTTATCCACCTTTGCGTAGGAAGCCACAGCAGGCCACCTGGACCTGCTTCTTCCATTGCAGTCTCCCAGACCTTGACGTCACGTGGCAGTTCATGTGTTTATTTGACAATTCTTGTTATGCCTCATCTTTCCTATGCCATTGGGAGCCCCTAGAGAGAAAGGACTATGTTTGATATTGCAATCATTGCCAAATTGTCACGTACACCTAAATTATCTGAAATGCAAATAATGGTGCCCCATGCTGGACCTATTGAATCAGAACCTACTTTGTTTTTTTTGGGGAGGGGGGCAATCACTCTTTTCCTTTATTAACAATGTAACCTGATCAGGGTCTACTTTTTTAAAGTTCCCCAGGAAGTCACCCCCCTTGAGCATCGAACACAGTCTACCCTGGGTTCTCATCTCAATTTGTATTTTCTTCCTCCTCACCTTTGCTCATTACTGTTCACCATCTTTCAGTCGTTTAACCTTTCTAAGCCTCAGTGTACTTATCTACACAATGGGGTTAAAGACAGTGCCTTCCTACACTGCTGTAACATGCACTGTCATAAGGTGAGTGGCTAATTGTACATAAAGGGCCTTGTCTGTCCCATCGCAGCCCCGAAGAAATACGACATTTGCTTTAGGCAAAATACTTTACTATTTGCTTTCACTTCCTGGAAATGAGAAGATTGAATGCTGTACTGTCTTGAAGAGCCAACATTCTATTAATTCTATTAGCCCCGTCAATGTTCTTTATGCATTCATAAGAGGTGATCCACTTAACCTAATTAGCCCTTTACCTGTATTATCACACTTGTCAGAATCTGTCTTGTTTACTTATCTGACTTTCCTGCTAAATTATGAAATCCTTCACACCTAGGGTTATCTTGTTCTTACTCAACTCTCCAAAGAGTTTCAGGCATGGTGACTGAGATGAGAGTGAGGGAAGGAGATGAAGAAATAACAAACATTGGTTGCCTTGCCCTGTGCGAGCCTGATGGATTTCACTTCATTTCATTTCATCCTTAATACAGATCTTTGAAGTGGATCTTATTACCAAGATTCACAGACAAGAAACCGAGGCTAAGGCAGATGGAATAACTTGCTAAAAATCCATAGGACTCAGGATTTGCATCAAATCCTGACTAATCCCCAAGTCCCCACTCTGTCCTCTTCACCCGTTTTTCAAAAAAAATTGTCGAATTGAATCAAGTAAAAAATAGAGGAACTTAAAAGGGAAAACAAATAGGGAAGGCTAAAGACTTCTACGGGAATTGTTTCAGCAAACATCCAAATACTTAAGCGGAAAATACAAGTGTTCACCAATATCCGTGTTTCTTCTCTTCCCCCGGGTGCACAAACTCTATTTCCTCACCTATCTGACCTTGGGATGGGGCCTTATGACTGGGTTGTGTGAAAATAATATGTGCAGAACTAATGGGCTGCAGTCCCGGCCCATAAGACAGCCTCCGCTCTCGCTGTTTCATCACGGCACACCTGCAGGGCACCTGTGGGAGGTGGTGCGATCTCAAGAAGGAAATACCCTGATGCCCAGAATGACTGAATGGAAAAGAGACTCCCCACTCCCCCCTTCTCTCCCCTTGTCCCTGGTGCCCACCCGGGACCACAGGAAGCTGCTATTGTGCTAAACCCCTGAGATTTGAGGTTTGTTTATTAGAGTATTTAATTCTAAATGAAGCTTTATGGACTAAATTAGGTAGAAAAGTTCCTTTGAA